GCCCCTGCCGCCCGGCCCGCAGGACCACGAGGCCGCGGTGAGGGGCCCACGCACAGCCCGCTCCCGACCCGGCGAACCCACGGCGGGCACACGCTGGCCCCTGCCGGGCATCACTTTCCAGGTCACCATGGCCCGGGCAGGCCAAGAGGACTCGTCAAGCGTGGCCCCCAGTCTGAAGGTGCACATCCCCGGCCAGCCCAAGCGGAGAGAAGGGGCTAACGCAGGGTGCTGGGAGATGCCCCAATCCCGGTAGAAGCTGTGCGGGCGGGGCCGTTCACCAGGTAGCCACCGCCGCCCGAACACCTCCCTCCCTGTTGGAATGGTGCTGGGGCCGTGGGGACTGACTGCAGCGCAGGAAGCTCTCCTGACCCGATAAGTGGGTCAAGGGCTTTCCACAGCCACCCTGGGCAGTGCAGCCCTCACAGCACCCTTGGCCCCTGCCCAGCCATCCCCCCACCCCACCCCTCCGCAGGTAGAGACAAGAGACGAGAGCAGCCAGCAACTTCCTTGCAAAAGCCCTTGGTCACCTGAGGGCCTGTGGAAATGGATTTTATTTTGTCCTGTTCCATTGTTCCCCAAGTGGGTTTTCCTTGCAAAATGCCTGGCATGACACCACAGGGGAACTGCCTGAGGCACTGCCCCCACCCCCCACAGGCAGTCAAGGGACTTAAATACAAGCTGGGTGGCAGGGCACAAGTGGGGCAGGCAAGAGACAGCACAGGGACGTGGCTTCTCAGGTCGAGACCAAGGTTGGTTTTTCTGCAGCAAGCAGCTGGGCCAGAGGGCAGGGGTGGGGGCAGAACCCTGGGTGTGGAGGGGTCAGGGACCCTTTGGGCCCTTCTGCCCCCACACTCATCCTAGAGGAGGAGGGCAGGGGAGTGGCCGGAAGGGAGCGAGGGTAAGTCAGGTGTGCTGCCTCTAGCCTGCTGGGTCCTCTGCCTCCGCCTGCCTCAGGGACAAAGGGGCACGGTGGGCAGGCAGCACGTGGTCCTGGCTCTGGCAGGGCAGGGGCGGCCTGAGCTGGCTCCCTCAAGGAGTGAGACACAGGCCCAGGCGGCTGCCCGCCCACTTGCCAAGGCTATGTGCACAGCTGGACGGCAGAGGCGAGTGTGGGAGGGCTGGGGGAGGCAGGGGGCCAGGGTGGGCTGCCGGCCCCTTGGCCTCATGCCTATTCTAAGGTCTGGCCCCAGGCTGTGCATCTCAGGTCCCCTGGCCATACCCAGTCAGTGACTGGGGCCACAGCTGGAGAGGCCAGGGAAGGTCCTCAGGTGGGGGGTGAGAGAGAAAGGGGTGGGGGTGGGGCAGGGAGCAGAGAGAGGAGCCTTCATCCCAAAGAAAGGTGTGTGGTGGGGTCTTTTAAAGTGACCAAGAGGCAGCAGCAGCAGAGAAGTCCCCAGCCCCGCCGCAGGCCTTTGGGCCCTCCCATGGGGGCCCTGACAGAACGAGGGCAGTGGGCAGACAGGCCAGAGGAGGATGGGGAGCTCAGGATACCCCAGACACAGACTCAAATGCCGCAGAGGGAGGGAGGGTGGAGACAGCATTTCCTGCTCCCTCTGGGCAGTCATCTCCAGGAGCAGCCCCACACGTGCTCCTCCTAGCAACAGCCACCGCCCGCTGGCTTCACTGGGGTGCTGTCGATCTTGAGGTTGGGCCGCTCGCCCCCTGAGGCGGCCCCAGGCCCCATCCGCTTTTTGATCTCGGCGGCCATGGTCATGAAGGCCTGCTCCACGTTGGTGGCGTTCTTGGCGCTGGTCTCCAGGAAGGGGATTCCCAGAGAGTCGGAGAACTCCTGTGAGGGGTGGGGGAGGAGGGCAGGGGTCGTGAGGGCCTGCTGTTGCCCCTGGCCAGCCCACCTGCCTGCCGGCCGGCCCCACACCCACCTTGGCTGTGGTGTTGTCCACCACCTTCTTGGTGGTGAGGTCGCTCTTGTTGCCCACGAGGAGCTTGTTGACGTTCTCGCTGGCATAGCGGTCGATCTCCTGTAGCCACTGCTTCACGTTGGCGTAAGACTCCTGGGGGCGGGGCAGGGCGGTGATTCCTGTCCCCAACTCCCAGCCCTGCACCTGCCCTGGGGAGAGTGGCTTCTCGGAGGGGAAGTGGGTCGTGAGTCCCTTCGAGGGGCAGCAAAGCTGGCCAGCAGCTTGGTCTCCTAATGCAGCCCTCTACCCCACTGAGGACAGGGCTGACAACGCTGGGGCTGTCGTGGTGGCAGGGTGAGGCTGTGCCTGAACCCCCGACCTGGAGTCTCTCACAAGTCACATGCTGGGCCCAGAAATACATCTCACACCGTGTGTGTCCCATACTAGGTCCTGGGAACAGAGGGTACGGATGTCTGGGCCCTATCCTATAGGACATAGGGATGTAGAGGAACAGACTACCTGGGGGCAGAGCCTGGCACAGCACAGAAGGGGCCACAGCCTTGAAGGGGAGGGGGAGGGGGAGGGGGAGGAGTTGA